AAAAATTCTTCAAACAACAGCGTTTGTCGATAAGACATTGATGATAAAAGAATTATTTCAAAAAGAAGAATTCAAAAGAACAGTAATTACGGCTCCCCGGAAATATGGAAAATCAACAAATCTAACTATGCTTAAATACTTCTTGGAAATTCAAGTGAACTTACTCGGAAAACCACTTACAAAAGCAAATGCTGAGAAACCAATTACAGATACCACTAATTATCAAATATTCGAAGGTCTGAAGATTAGCAAAGAAGCTGTGATGAAAGATCATTTTGGGAAGTACCCAGTTCTATACGCTAATTTTAAAGTTGAAAGGCTTATTAAAACTTATACCTGTGTTATTGAAGTATGTAAAGAAGTAATTCACAAAGCCTTTCAATCACATAGATACTTACAAATAAGTTCTAAATTGGATATTAAAGAGAAAAGAATATGTAAATTGTGGTGCGATGATGAATGTTACAAAATGATTAGGAATATAAATGAAATTTGTATTGGTTTTAGGTCATTGTGTAAATGTTTAACAAAGCATTTTAATAAGCCATGTTTTGTTCTAATTGATGAACCCGACTTTTTACCAATCGTTTCAATAACACAGCCTTTGTTAGAAGATTATAAACGTATTTCTTTTTTTATAAGCCAATGTTTATTATTTTTAACAAATGAAGAATTTGTTGATAGAGCATTTGTGACTGGAAAATCTGGTTATGCTATTCGTGGAATTCTGCCTTCATGTATAGAAATACAACCGTTCTCTGAATTTCATGAGTTCACTGATTATTATGGATTAACTACAAATGAGTTGAATTGTCTTTTCAAAAAACAAGAATTTAATGCTGTTACAGTGACAATAGATGAAGTAAAGGCTTACTTTGGTTCATATAATAAAATTGATCAACTTTCAAAAATGAAGAAGAAGATATATTGTATTTGGTCAGTTTTAAATGTTTTAAAATGTAAAAGACTTGACAACTTTTGGCGAGACTTTGGAACCATTTTTTGTAGCTTTTCGAATCCAACTATTAAAGACTCAATGCAACAGTTATTAAGTAATAAACCTAATATGGCTCTGGTATACAATAAAACAAAACCAAAAACTTATCCAGTTACTCCTAAAATTATTGCAGCATCTGGAATCCCTAATGATAAGCAATTAGATTATTTTTTCAATTTTTTGTTGGATATAGGCTATTTAACCTATGATTCACCTGTAGTACGAGTCTCAGACTCTCATAAGGATAATAATACAAAATGTTGTATAGTTGTAAAAATACCAAATGAGGAGGTTAGACAAGATATTAAAAAAAAAATATCATTGCTCTCTTAAAAATCATACTTTGTTATTTAATTGTATAATATTGGTTCCTGTATTATGTGAATTCCTATTATAAATTATATTTTTTATGTTGTTTATATGTCTAGTTAATATTTGAGAATCTGACATAAATAATTTTAAAATGATCTTAATATCTTAATAATTTAGTTATAATTTTTTTATAATTACATTTTAAAAAAATATGAAAAATATAAAATGAAAGTTGTTGTGAAGTATAAACATAAAATATGTGTACTATACAATTATTTTATTCATTACTTAAATGTTGTATTTCGTTAAGCGAATGATTTTGTATTTAATAAAGCTTTGAAGACCATTTATATTAAAATTGTTTTATTTATGATTATTGTACCTATTCATAAAATATATCTCATAATCTCAATAACAAAATCATATGATAAATAATATGACTAATCATATTATTAATAAATACATTTTTCAGAAGAGCATAATAAAATTTAAAACATGTTATTTTAAGTATACTGTATAATACTATATAGATAGTGGGTACCTACATTTATATATACATTGATTTTGGAAAAATAGATTTTGAAAATCTCAATAAATTCAATTTTATACAACAGCCAAAGTAGGTACACAAAAAATGAAAACCACTAATTACCTATCTATGTATGGATTTTTAGTATTTTAGATTTAAGTAAATGTTTGTACCATCAATACCGAATTATTGAAAATATCTTAATGTTTATAAAAAGTCAAGTCAGTGACAGTGGTATTATCGGTCTTAACTTGTATGAAATACACAAATTAAACATTTTAAAAAGAAAATAACTACAAAATTAAACAATTTATCACTACAAATTATATTAAAACAATTTTAAAATTATTGATGAACGAAAAATGTTCTTTATTTATACTAACTTTATACTAGCTAGTTCCTTTATTTAAGCCAGGAACGAGAAACGATTTTGTTCCTTTTTAACAAGACTAATGTGAACTAATTCCTTTTTTAAAGGAACTTTCCAAGCATTAGTCCAACTGGTCGTGGTGAAGTGAAAAGATGGAATAGCAGAAAAAAAAGGCAGAAAAAAATCCAATGGAAAAAAGCCTATCGATAAAAAAATTCACCCTACAAAAAATTTTAATTTAAATATAAGAACAAATTCTGATTGCAGCGTTGTACTTAACTTGTTGAAATATATAGATTTCCGAAAAATAAATTTCTAAAAATGGATTTGGAGCTATACTGTATTTAACTATGTAGATTCGTGGAATTATCTACGTATATAATGTACGTATTTATGTATGTATGCATGTATGTATGTTAACTTTATTGTTGGTTAGATTTATGATAATGTTTTATTGATAATTTTAGGCAAGCATTCAATGGAAAAAAAGTCAACACTTTGTACGTAATCAATTGGCACATCTATAAAGAACTGCTAAATATAAGAGGCACTTGTCAAATTGTGTATAGATTTTAAAGTGTAAACAATTGAAAATGTCAGAAATTAATTGCCCCGTATACTTTGTTAAAAAAGCATTCAATGATTTATTTTCCAACTTAGGGATTGGAATATCCGCAGGTATAAAAGCACGACAAAGTTTGGAATTAAACGAGTTTTAATTACCTGAAGAAGTACTGGCGGAAGTAAAAAACTGCTGTTTGAATTTTTGTCTTCTTATCTTTGTGTTTGGCGGTCCCTATATGTTGTACTACTAAAAAACGTTGTTCAAGAGAAACAGATTTTTCACACGCAGAACAGTGCAAAATCTCACCATCACTCTGAAAATGTTCGTTTGGAAATTTTAGTACATAGTTTTTAGCTTTTCCAACTTTGGACATTCGAACTTTAGGCATAATTACTGACTCGCTGTCAGTACTTCAAACGCAAACACATAATAAATCGTTATCTATCATTTATCGAGGTAACAAATGTCGAATATAATATTATATTGACAGTAGATTACGGTCGATTAGTTCAATAATTAAATATAAAATATGTAAAATAAAATATAGTTCATTACAATGGAAATCCCTTGAAACGAATTTATCACTTACCTAAATTAATTTATTAAGTCACAATAAAAATATGTATTTACATATAAATCCAAGCAATAGTGATCATTTATTAAAGGTATATTATACTTGGGGGCCAGCACAAAGACAATATTTTACTAATGTGGCGTGCTTGCCTAATATTGACATTAAACTTGACTGGTTTATAAGAATAGATAATTTTAAAATATTCATGTAGGTAATGCATTTCTTATTAAATTATAATACATTAATACCAATAAAAAAAAAAATTAAAAAAAATAAATTAAAAAATTATCAATCTATATCTTACCAATAATAACTGAACATATATTCAAGGGTGAAATGATTTTTTTGTTCGAATACCATGAAATGAATAACCACATAGCAAGTTATCGTAGAATAATTTTTCAAAAATCCGTTTTATGGACCGTTTTATGTTTATGCCTAACAGCCTTGTTAATTCTTGTATATAAAAAAATAAATGATAGTATAAAATAGCTTATAAGAATATACATATTACATAATAATATATATTTTTAATTTTATAAATTATAATTATTATATTTGTATAGAATACATTTATCCTTACAAAATTTAATATAAATACCACTTTTCCCCCAGTATAAGCCAATAGGAAATATTATTTTTTTACCTAAATAGTTATCAGGTTTAACATAAGCTAATATTGGCCAAAATTGACTATTACTACTGCGTGCTATTGGGAGTCCATCAATACCGATAACTAATGCTGTTTTTTTCGGAACATTATTACTTGAATAATATTTTGAAGTGTATCAGGTAATCCAAAATGAAAATATTTGCAATTTGGATTGACAAGTCGTATTTGATCAGTATAAACTATGGGAGTTTGAAGGAGAGTTCTAGAATCCTTTGGAGGCTTTTCAAACCCTTTGTACTTTCTTAGAATAATTAATAATGCATTCAAATGACACTGAGCAATTTTACAACTGACAGCCCAATTTTTAAGCTCAATTTCAATAGTTTTAATATAGTTAAGGTTTGTATAGTTATTTTCATTACTTTTTGCATATACCGCAGGTAAAAGATTTAAACAATCAGTTGTTAAATCATTCAAAATATTGGAATCAGAATATGAACTATTGCTAATTATATTATCAACATCTGAAGTACCTACAGTGGCTGCTCTATTCATTATAATATGTGGTATGAGTAATTCATTTGAAGAACGTGGTGAACTTGGTAAACTATTAAAATTAAATTTTTGATTTAAATCGTCTCTTGCAAAATCAGCATCCTGATTATGCAGTTGAATAATATTCTTCTACGAGTCCGAGAAGAAATATTAAAAAAATTTTTTTTGACCCTTTGTTAATTTTTGGCATTTTATAGACAAATTATGTTTACTTAAATTCTAAAATAAATATTAGTTTAAAAATTAAATGAAATTACAATATTATAAATAAAACTGTAACAGATGATTGACAGACGCATAATATATTAAAACTCAGTGGCGGCGCGAAATCATGGAAACTTTGAAGCATATTGTAAATTTTAAAAAATTTTACCATCTCACCCTCCATTGAATCAAATTAGCAGTAGGGGCTATTAATAATTATTAATTATAATATTTGCCATGATATTTGTGTTTAGGTCTTACGTTAATATATATATTTATACACCCACCCACCCATTTGAGACATGAAGCAATTGCTTCAAATAATCCTATATCCCGCCGCCACTGTTAAAACTTCATTATAATTCTTCTTGAATTTGATATTTATGAAATATGTACCATCTAAAAATACCAAATTGTCAATAATAGGTATTTAAGATATTATTTAAATTTAGCATTATTGTGTCTTACAAAAGTAAAGTACATTCTACTATTTTAGGTAGGTACATAAATAATAATGGAAACTGATAAAATAATACATACAAACTCAGTTATAGTTGTTTGAATAGGTTGTAGCCTGTAGGTACACGCATGAAAATGAAGATACGATGTAATACCTCAATGGCTCGATGTAGGTATACTTTACTACTTTATTTAAATTCGCATCTTCAACCTCCAAGAACATTTAGTAGCATATATCTCTGTAACATATTATATTATTAAATATGGTATTATATAGTAACCTATTAGATCAAATATTATTTAAAATCTACTAAATTACAATATATTTTTATTAGCAGTGGCATAATTATTAACATAGGTAATCAACAAGTAGTGAGTATAAACCAGTCTCAATGATTTAGATAATAATGAGGATAACATAGTTATTATACAAAAAATATTAAATTTTTTAAAAAAACTAAAATATTAGGTAGGTAGGTTCATATTATAACTATTTTAATTTAATAACTTGTACATAATATATAAACTAAATAGGCAGGTACTTTTAAATTGAAATCAAAGAAATTATGGAAAAAGCGAGCACAGACTATAATTAAAATAATTATGACTCTTACCTATGTTTATATGACAATATATTAATTATTAATGTCATATAAATGTCAAGGGCCTGTCCCATTTACTATTATAATAAATAAATAAATAATTTATATAGGTACTATACCCAAGCCACATTTAAGGAGACCAAAGCCAGTGGACGTATAGGTACCTACCTATAATAGGTAGTTAAAAATATCCACTACTTCGAGACTACTTGTACTATTTAGGTAGTCTATGTGTGTGCCACAATGTATTGAGTAATATTTAATTGTTCATAAAATGTAATATATAGATACTTAGGCACTAATATATGTAATAAATACCTACTCACTTAATTATAGAACAGTCACAGATTACGTTTGACGTATCACGTATTACGCGTACCTATAGGCACTGACCGAATAGGTACTGACAAAAACTAAGGTGTTCAAAATATAAAATGTAGTACTGCAGTCATGACTTCTGACGTTCAAATAAATAATCACGATATTGTACTACAGTAGTACCTACAATGAACGAATAAGAAAAATAAAATCACCGTAGATTAAATTATTGATCTTTATAGGTTTAGCATGAATATAACTAAACAATTCTGGAGAGTGTAAAGTAGACGCTGGATGTCTTAGGGCGCCGAGCACAGCTGACGTCTACTCATGAACATCGAATATCGAAATCGAATAAAAAGCAATATCTCAATATTATATTAATAACGAATATCGATTACGGTACGCGCTTCGCAGTCAGAGTGTAGTTCTGTGTTTCTAGTGTTCACCACTAGGCAAATCGGTCGACGCGACAACGACAATATACATCACTCTAGATACCTACTGCGATAACATTATATTATTATTGGGATTACCGGTCACGGCCTCGGCCTGCAGATATGTATCTAAAAATACTTGGCGAAAAATGTAGGTAAATGTACGAAGAACAATATTTTTAGACGTCTTGTGTATTTATCTCGAAGACACGGACTAAGACAGAATCATTCTACACAAGAGTAATACTCCTATTCCTATAACCTTAAGCGGCCCGGCGGTGGTTACTGATTATAGGCTTTCGTTTCCAGTTAATTCTATCTTAGTCCGTGGTATTCATTAGGTATATACAAATTATAAATAATAATATAACCCGAGATCCAATTTCCCACTACTCGTGTGTCATTACTGGCTATACCTACCTACCATAATATACGAATGTCGAATTGGTAGGTACTTATATAGGACTATACGAGTTATACGTACTTACTATTTAAAAAAATACCTACCTATCTCTTAGACAGTTGTCACTTGTAAACATATAATATAGTCCTCTGAGGTGGTTGAAAAAGGTGGTGAAAACCCAATACCGAATATCCGTCAAATACATAAGTAATAAAACCTCAGCTTGAGATTCACACTGGGCTGCCCCTGCAATTTTTCAAAGGTGCCGGTCAACCGAGTTTTAAGTCAGAGGGTTATAACATTTTTCTTTTTTTAACTTGATTTTTTTGTGGGTATCGTTATAATTACCATTTACTTACACAGACTGATTTCCTGACTTCCGAAATCGGAAAAACACACTATAAAGACTTGAGACATACGACGACGATATAGTAAGCATCTAGGTAGGTATTATTGACATTATTGTTGTATTATTTTTGATTTGTAGCTAGGTAATGTAGGTAATCCAAGGATGAATAATATTTCTGAAGTTACTGTAGATTATTAATGTAAATAGATAATTTAGACTTTTTTTTAAATGATGTAAATATTTCATTGTGAAGGGGGGGGGGCTTAAAAAAATACGGCTTTGGGTGTATAGGGCTTTTTTAAGTTCACTAATAAGATACCGCCGGTTATTACCTAGGCTGCCCCTGCCAATGAAGTCTAGTCACGCCTATGATTCACACCAACCGATTGCTACTTAGTACTAAGGTGCTATAGTGGTAACATTATAAAATAGATATAGAATAATAAATTATTAATTAATAGTAGGTACTCATATCGCGTGTATTCATGCATTTTCAATCGACAAATAAGAAATACTATTTAGCTCAGAGACTGAGCTCACGGGGGGCATAAGGGCCCCTCATTCTCCAGTTTTTTTTTTATAATTTTATAGATCTTGATATTATTATATTTCAATCACAGTTATGTATGACAATATAATATATTATACATATCTGGGGACTGTGAATTCAATATATTGTATACTGTATAGTATAAAATATTTTGAACCGAGAATAAAGTGTAGGTATACTGTAATTGTATTTGCGCTGTAAAAAAATTGTTATATTAAATTTGTTCTCAAGTGCATATAAAATAAAACTACGCATATATACCTATTTTTAATACAATTTTATACAGACATGAGAACAGGTTATATAGGATCTTGTATTAAATTGTCAAACATTTTCTATTGTCTATAAAATATAAATAGCTTAAAAAGAATTGAATTTATACCATGTATAGAAAATTATAATATAAACATAGTTTTTTTGTTTATTCGTTTTTCAATTTTAAGAAAATAAAGAAATCAATTTTGTTGATAACTGGTTAAGAAGAAACTTCACATTTCTTCCTCGTCTTACTCGTACGATAGTGCCTAATATAATTCCAAATTTAAGCTCAGCAGAAAATCACTTTTATGTTAATTAGTTTAAAAATTAATGTGAATCGACTTATTATGAAACTTGGCGGTAATAAAATTATCTGGGACGAGGGTTTTTTACTATAGTTCAATTTTTTTAGGAATTTTATAACAAAGCGTAAATTAAAAATTAAAATAATTAACTTAACAACTTAATCGCGTCGTTTAAACATCGATAATGTTTTTACCTATCAAGTATTTCAAAATAGGTCAATTCCCTCTAATTTTTAAACTAACGAAGATAATAACATGATATGATGTTGAGCATAAATTTGATAGTAGGTATGTTATACTCACTTATAAGACGGAGACACAAATGTCAATTTTTGTTTTTCCTTTATTTTTTTTTGTTTCGTTTTTATTTTTCCTGATTATTAAGAAAATGACTAAGCAATGTTTAACCCCCTAAAATGTATTAACTAGATGCAGTTTACTTCCAAAAACCAAAGGTGAATATACTTAAGCATTTTTACTGCCTCAAAAGGTGATGACAGACAGAAAAAAAAGAACACTGCACATAATAACAGTATCAATACAATAAATTATGACTCAGCTCTGAATCTAAAATAGATATTGGTTTGTATTAATATATTATAAAATGAGGTTTTTGGATATAAGTACCTACCTAAATATCTAATAGGTATATAAAAAACTCGTATATAATTATAGTGTGCGTGCGGGTAATTCTTCAAAATAAAGTATTCATTTGTGTTGATATACTTTGAATATTCAACAGATTGACAACATTTAATGTTTAGGATTTACAATGTCTTTAACATCGCTACTTGATAGGTAATAAAATCGCTAACACAACCATTTTAGATTCTGAGTGAAAAGATGAATGTATTGATTTTACAATGATGTGTGTTTTTTATTTTTGTGCCTGTCATCATGGTTTAGTGCAGTAAAACTGCTATGATTTTCTTCAACAGTATCTTGTTCGATGGAAAAGTGAATCTAGTTGGTGCATTCGGGACAAATTTTAAATGTCTTTATAGTTTTCAAAAGCGACGGGAAAAACAACATACAAATTAAGGAAAAACGGGAATTTTTAAGCAAAATATGTTTTCCACAAAAATCGAATTTGGTTTTTGGTTTAACTCTAAAAC